TGACGTTGCATCTGACCTTTTTATTATGACGTATACATTATCAGAGTGACAGCAAACACTTAGCACTTCATAACATAACATTGTTATGAACACTGCATATTATATAGACTAATTATTGTTGTTACAAATTATTGAAACCCGAATTCCATGGATTTAATCTACATGTATATATAAACAGAATAGGATACTATGGAACGCCATACCTGCCTGAAGGTCATTTTCATTTTATATGAGGTGGTGTAACCTTTATGTGAAGTGGTTAAGTCATTATATATAGTGGTAAAATCATTATATTCAATGAAAACTTTATAATATGCAGTGGTTTTATCTTTATATACAGTGGTAAAATCATTATATACAGTGATAAAATCATTATATTCATTGATGACTTTATTATATGCAGTGGTTTTATCATTATATACAGTGGCAATGTCATTATATGTAGTGGTTAAATAATGTAATGAAGTGATAATATCGATACATTATGCTGTAAAATCATTATATGCAGTGGTTTTTCCATTTTATACATTACTGATATCTTTCTGTGATGTGATGAATTCAATATATACAGTACAAACATAATTTGTGTGATAAAGCAATCATTACATTGTATGAAACCCGCTGCATGTGGAGTGCCAAGTTAATTTCATTCAGTGCGACACCTTTACATGAAGTGAAAAATCTATTATGTACAGTACTAACATCATTATATTATATAGTAAAATTATTATATATATTCCTTAAATCATGCTTTGCAGTAGTAACATCTTTATATGAGGTGGTTAATTAATTATATGATGTTGTTAATTTGTTATATGATGTGCTCAAATCTTTATATGCATTAGACGTTTCATGTTATGCAGTGGTAACTTCTTTATCATCATCTAAACTGGTCCTTTTATTTAAAAAAAATGCGCGGAGTTCCAGTTTAAAGAGTGTTTGAAAATAGGAAACCCGGGCCGTGGCAAATTAAAAGCCGGGACTATTCGAGATTTTTCTAATTTCTGATTCTATTATACAGCTTCCTGATTTGATCAACTGTGCTGAAATTTTAAGACTCATTTTTATAGGTTAATGTGTATTCGCTGTAAAAATTGCATTTAATTTTAAAATACTTATTAATTTAGATTTTCTTGGCGATTGTTGATTTCCAAGTTCAGTGGTGGATCCAGGAATCTTGAAAAGGGGGGCCCGACAAGTTTTTGGTCGGGGTAGGTAGCCCACAGCCAAACCAAAAAACAATTGATTTATTAAATCTTATGTATATTTTGGACACAAGGGGGGGGGGGGCATAGGCCCTCTCTGAATCCGCCCGTGAGGTTGGTAAATCGGGTAGGCAATCAAGTAGACATTTTACTGTTTTGTTTGTTTATTTGTTGTTTTTTGTTTGTTTGTTTTTTTTTTTGCCATATTTGACAGAAAGCTTATAAACTTTTAAATTATTCTGATGTTAAAAATTATTCATTCTTTGAAAGGCATTTTTTGTGTGAAATGACATGTTTAAGAAAAACCGGTTCACATAGGCGTCGGAACCGGGGGGGGGGGGGAGGGGGCTATTGCCTACAAAGGTAGACATAATATAGGCATTGAAAATTCGGTCGTAGGTCTAGCCTCCCCCCCCCCCCCTCCCCACTTTCTACAGGCACGATTCATTGTAGTGAAAGAAGGGTAATTGGTAGTGTTTAAAAGAATTTGATACTGAAAGATGTTCGACCAAACCCCCCCCCCCCCCATCCACCCACACCCCCGAAATAGGATTTTCGGGTTTGGAGAAAGAACAATTTTCCCTTTTTTTCTTTTTGGTTATCAAGTTTTTTTTCAGGTTTGATTTTTTTTTTCTATTTCAATTAGCCACCCCACTATCAATTTCCTTCCGACGCCAATGGTTCATTAAAATCGGATTTGATCTCCCGGAAGTCAAACATAAAAAATCCGAAATACTTATTCATTATCTACATGCCATTTGATAAAATATAAATTAATTAAAGAATTATCACATATACATGTAATTATAGGACTATTAATGCAAAGCCTTGTGTCAAACTTTAATCACGCGTAAGTTGCTTGGTTTAAGGATATCCGATCCTCAGCCTTGAAGGATAACTCTTAATTTTATCATTTTATTCAAAAAGGCTAAAATGATTTTAATTTGGTTGTTTGTTTGCTGTTTAACGTCCCTCTCGAGAATTTTTCACTCATATGGAAACGCCACAATTTGCCAGTGGAGAGCTGCAAATTTTGTCCTATACTCGACACTTACGGCCATTGAGCAGTGAGGGATTTTTTTCGTGCCAACACCTACTGTGGAACGGGACCTCGGTTTATGGCTTTATGCGGTCTCTTACGAAGGACCGGTCTCAACGTCCCACTGTCGGATTCGAACCCGTGACGTAAGGATTGACTCCTTATTCCGCGTCTCTTAGAGCAGACACTCTAATCACCGTGCCACGTTGGCGACGGCAAATATGAAACTTGAAAATGAAATGTTTTCATGCAGCAATTTTTCAATGTGATTTAAGGTTTTCTGAAGTCTTAGAAACAGTCTTATAAATAGTTGATATTAGTAATTTAACACCCCACCCCCCACCCCCATCCCGAAAAAAGTATTAAACAAATTACATATTTAACGTAATCCAGTTTCCTTCCATCTTCTAGCATATAGATACATGTACCAGTGCACATTTGCATATTATGAAATTAGAAATGATTTATGGTGTTTTGCACCAGGTTCTTCCCGGATGATCGGATCTGGTTTAATAATCCCTTTTTTAATGAAAATGTGTATTTTGCATAAAAATAGCATTTTCAAATAAAGAAATAACTATCAAAAAGAAAAAGTTTTTTTTAGTTAAAATACAGTGTTTAACATCGGAATAATTTTTAAGTTTATTAGATTTTTATCAAATATGTCAACAACAACAACAAAAAAAAAAAAAAAAAAAAAAAAAAAAACACACTTGAAATATCGCCAACCCAGTCTACCCATTTTACCAACATGGAAATCAACAATCGTCAAAAAAAAAATCTAAAATACTAAGTACTTATAGCACAATGGATAAAATATTAAATCAGAAAATTGAATCTGCCTACCAATTTTACTTGAAACCAAAAATCGTAAAGAAAATCTAAAATACCAAGTATTCAAATACAATTTTTACAGCAAAAACACATTAGCCTAAAAAAAGAGTCTGAAAATTTTAAATCAGAAATTTGAAAAATCTCGAATAGTCCCGGCTTTTAATTTGCCACGGCCCGGGTTTCCTATTTTCAAACACTCTTTAAACTGGAACTCCGCGCATTTTTTAAAAATGTTTTTGCAAGAGGACCAGTTTAGATGATGATAAAGAAGTTACCACTGCATAACATGAAACGTCTAATGCATATAAAGATTTGAGCACATCATATAACAAATTAACAACATCATATAATTAATTAACCACCTCATATAAAGATGTTACTACTGCAAAGCATGATTTAAGGAATATATATAATAATTTTACTATATAATATAATGATGTTAGTACTGTACATAATAGATTTTTCACTTCATGTAAAGGTGTCGCACTGAATGAAATTAACTTGGCACTCCACATGCAGCGGGTTTCATACAATGTAATGATTGCTTTATCACACAAATTATGTTTGTACTGTATATATTGAATTCATCACATCACAGAAAGATATCAGTAATGTATAAAATGGAAAAACCACTGCATATAATGATTTTACAGCATAATGTATCGTTATTCTCAATTCATTACATTATTTAACCACTACATATAATGACATTGCCACTGTATATAATGATAAAACCACTGCATATAATAAAGTCATCAATGAATATAATGATTTTATCACTGTATATAATGATTTTACCACTGTATATAAAGATAAAACCACTGCATATTATAAAGTTTTCATTGAATATAATGATTTTACCACTATATATAATGACTTAACCACTTCACATAAAGGTTACACCACCTCATATAAAATGAAAATGACCTTCAGGCAGCTATGGCGTTCCATAGGATACGCTAACTTTTTTCAACATGAATCGTAAAACTAACCACACAAAACAAGTATTAAACTCGGACTAAAAGACTTGAGACGCACAACTGTACTGTAATTATACATGTACAACTTTTCTACAAATTACTGCCCCCAATAAAATTGCAAGTTTTGGAACCAAAACTTACATGTACATCCCATATAATTACATGTATGTATATGCATGATAGAAAATATAGACATACAAAAGTTTTCTATTGTAGAAAAAAGAATTCAAGCTTTTTAAAATAAAGGATTAAATGTTCCGATAATTTCGAAATATCAAAGAACAGAATATGATAATTTTTAAATCTTCCTGAAAACCAAGGGGTCAGGAAAGATAAAACTTATATAGAAACCATATTAATATTATATGAGTTCTCTGATTCATTTGTTTTTTGACATTTTACCTATATCATAATTTGCACTTTGGGTGACTTAATGGCAAGATCGATGTTTTACTTATGGACGATAGTGCATTAATTCTTCAAATCGATCCGAAAAGTTACCTAAAAACAAACACTTTATAAAAATCCTATCCGACACTATTTAAAAAACGGGAAAGGAATATTTATTAACTGTTTGTTTTAGGTAATTTTTGGATTGATGGCATGGATTAGTTTACAAATATGTCGTAAAAAGCTGATTTATGGAAAGGTTCAAAATGGCTGAGGGTATATATCGTGTGTTGGGGGGGGGGGGGGTCCTGTCCTCAAGTACCTGTGATTTTGATTTTAAATTGTACAGTACATTTTATAAAATTTATATACATGTACATAAAGCTAATGGTTTGATACCACCATTTCTCTATATTTCAGCATAGCTGTCAAATATCTTATGTGTATTCCTCTACATTATATTTTAATTCCGAAATGTCTGAAGTACGACTGATTAATACCAAGAAAAATCACATGATATTCCATCAAAGATGGCGCGATGTATCATGTAAACAGAAACTTTGGACTGCCATCTGAACCCAGAGATGCCAATCATGTCAGTTAATGCGGTAGGTGAATGATGTGGTTAAGTAATTAGGGCGTGCGTTATGCAGTGGTTGACCTAATTCTCAAGACATATACTGGTAAGTGTGCCCGAGTGTCTGTTTGGGCTCAGCTGATCAGCACACGATTGTACTTTAAAGTAAAAGGAAGTATGACTACTACCTAAATAGATTTGATAATCATAAAATAGATAGTTCCGTTTTAAAATGTTTGAAAGGTAAGACTTTATGAAAACCGGCTACAATCCTACCCGTAAATGACAGTCATTTGATTATGAAATACCGTTGTTTTATTGTACCGGTCCAAATACATGCATGTTATGAATAAAAAGCATCGATCCATCTATGGTCAACTCGATCTATTTAGATAAAGATTTCGACAAAACTATGCAACCTTGCATTTTAAAAAATAAATGTTTTTATAAAACATAAAAAAATATTTTGGATATTATTTGCAAATCAGCATGTTTTCTCTGCAGGCGACAAATGACATGGTCAGTGTGAGTGGTGCTCGGGAACAGAAAGCTAGACAAGCAGGGACTGCAATATATGGCAGTGTCCACAACCAAAACATGACATCAAGGTAAAATCATGTATATATAGTGATTCAAATTGGGATACATTGAAAAGTTGCTTACATTACTTCCTTTATCACATTGAGGGCAATTGCCTATAATTTTAATGGGATATTGCATATTGAAATGCAATTCAATTAGCATATTTATAAATTCTGTAAAAGGGGCATATTGCACTTTTTTTCTAATACAGTCTCATTAATTCAATGCAATAACAAAGTTAACCGAAAAGTGATGAAAAACTTTAATTCCTTTTTCTTGTTTTTTGTGCCATGTTATTTGTGTGGAAGACAGATAATTTTCCTTCGATGTTTTCATTGGAAACGAAATAATTGCTTTATAACCATAACAAGGTCCCTGAAATGATTTTCTCAGATTTTTTCACAAAATCTTTATATGTTGTATATATATATATTTATATATTTGGTTATTAATTTTGGGATACTAGTTTTATAAGAATGTTTCACTGAGATGCATGAGCACAAGGGTGCATGATACTGCTGTAAATTATTTTCAACATTTAAAAAACTCTCCCAGGACAAATTGACAGTGTTCTTTTTATGAGGTCTAAAAATATTTTTTGAAAAAAAAAATATGAATTTGAAACAAAGAAACTGGCATCAACACCATGTACACACTACTTGAAAAGCTACATACTGAAATGAACATTTATAATTCACATAACACATGGTTGATAGTCAATAGACTTGAACAGGAAGGCACATCCAAGTATTTTTTGAAGAGTGTTTGACACCTTTGCTCTCTTCAACAATCAGATTTGTACAAATGTCAGGTACTTCAAGGCAATTTATTCTGTACATTGAGGAAGTAATTTACAAAGTTTTTCACAGATGAATTTGATGTATAAGAGCTATAACCTATTTGTTGATGGTCATTGTAACTTTAATCAACTTCCTATTAATAGTGTGCAAAATTAGCAAAGAAAATGAAATAGCCCACTGGGCTATCTGATTTAAAATTTGACAATTTGGATTTGCCACAAAAATAAAAAAGGAAAAAAAAGGAAATAAAATATATAAATGATAGGAAATTATGTATCCACTAAAATACAAGAAGCAAAAGGAGGGAACTTGTCCACCCCTCCCCTCAAAAAACCACACACACACAGACATGGCAATTCCCAACATTCCCAACATGGAAGTCAACATCTACAAGAAGGGCTGTGGGTTCAGATTTCTTTATACAAGGATAATACAGACCACTAAGTTATACAGAATAAAGTAATAAAACTTGACAAAATGGATCAAAAGCAAACTATAGTGTTTAAAAAAAATTCTGATCATGAAAGTCGTGCTCTATAAGCATTTCCAGTAAAGCATGTCAGATGTTGTTCTTAAACGGTGAGATTTTGGTTGTGTAGGTAAAGATAGTGCACAGTTCATTCATTGACAAATTCCTAATGTTTATTAATAATGTACAGTAATAAGAGATAAGAGAACTATGGAATATAATTCTTTTAATACAGAATAGAATTTAAAGTACGAAATGATTTTCTTCAATCATTTTATCTACAATTAATAAACATGAAACATTAATTCTTGTTCAGTCTCATTTTACACACTGCCCACATTGGAATAGATAATTCCGTCTAGATCTGTTTTGATAAATCAGATCATAATAGCCTGATTCAGCATGAGATACATTACATGTAGATTCTGACTATAGGACATGCATTAATTTCATACACAATAATCATAGAAACACTTATTTCTATGTATGTACATGTAGATTCGGACTATAGGACACTCCGACAGGCATCAATTTCATAAACCATATTAATAGTAACACTTATTAGGATATAGATCATACATATATGAAGTGTATGCTCACATGATAGATTTTTTTTTTTTGAAAAAAAAAATTAATTATACATTCACTCTCATTGTCAACAATAAATATAGAATGTATACATCTGGTATTTAAGATAGCCAGGCAAATCCAAAGTCAATACATCATTATAGTTTGGGAAATTCCCCAACCCCGGGGGTCTTAGGGAAAACCCTGAATAAGTACATGTATGTAAATCCTTGTTATGGGACTTGTTATGGGACATGAATGGTACCAAATATCATGCATATACAGTAAACAATTGTAGCTATCTAATCTTTAGGAGGGGCCCTTGCTGATTTGGTGGACCTTTATTTCCCATTATATTCAGGTGTATTTATACCTTTTGACAAATATTTTGTTACATGTAGTTTTTCATTATAAGTACATTTATGAGCAATGTTCTTCATAAGCATGTTTTATTTTACATAAACACACATATGTATACTAGCTGTCAACATGGGCAGTATAGTTACATGTAGAGTACTCTAGCCAGTCCTGCTTAAGGGTGACAGTAATACAGAAGTTTGCTCTCATATTATTTTGAAGTTCATTGTGTTTGATTACATTTAAAGCCTATCTTGCAGGTTTTATTATCTTCGAGCAGATCAAGACAAAGAAAACGGTTTTAATAATATTGATACGTGTGATAAAAAAAACTCGCAAGCTCATGCATTTGTACAGCCAACTCATGCCAATATTCACCGATATAAGTTCAATAAACCTATAATATTCTTTAAGTATACAATATATTTTAGAGTTATAGGGAATGAAAATCACTTAACTGTAAGAGTCAATTCGTTGTACGCTATTCACTTAAGCATGTTTTACTTAACATGCGTGTTATTAAAGTCTGACTTTTTTCAGAGTGGAAGATGATCATGACACTTATGTGTACGGACCAGAGAGAATCTCAACACATCCCTACTCCCACTGCTCCACCATTTCATCTGTTCGCAGAACCTTTTGTCTTATTGCACTGTTTGATCTGTGTTTCTGCTTCATACTGTGGGTCATCTATACTCAGGTAAGGGTCAAAGGTCATAGTACTAACATTGCCATGGTACCAACTAGTTATGTCAAATAAATTTATTTGTTTTATTGTATATGCCCATGCACATGTAATGATACAGTGAATGTTAAAGAACAGTGAGTGTTCATGCCCTGTTATGAGTTCATCTATGGCAAGGCATTTTCTAGAGATTGTCTTGTCAATTTTCTCATTCCATCCCCCTTTTTCTGGCCTGCTATACATCCATTCTATTTTATTTATTTATTATTATTTAGAATTTTATTATAATTTAGAATCAATGATATTTTCAACATTTTCAAACATTACAACAGAAACATTTTGGTGAGCAAACCAATTGTGTCAAATTTTTATGACTTCAAATTCTCTGACCTTGAATTTATGTATTTCATTTTGCATGTAAATCATATTCTTATACATGTAGGTACATGTACATGTATTTTATACAACTTCATACCCAGAAAGAATTTTGATTTATCCATTCTGTCACACAATTTTTACTTTCCCGTTTTTTTTTGTCCCTATGTTGCATTATTTTATTCCATTGCTTTGAATGTCATGACAGACTATGTAAAATCCCAGGTCTAATCTGATACATGTAATGAGATCATTTTGAATTCAAAATTTTGCCATCTTAACATCTTTTTGGTCTTGATTTTCAATGTCTTGATCTTGTGTTTAACTCATTTTCATAAATAACATATTAAAGTATTAGGGCACTTCTCACAACATAATTCAAACACAGATAGTAGTATATTTTACTTAAAACATTTTTATGGTTTACTATTGCTGATCTTTATGTCCTATCTGACTTTGACACAAAATATTCACAACTTTAACAACTACTGCATTTAACATATTGCATAAATTAGTCTTGATGGGAGAAATATTTTGTGGCCTTGACATTCCTTATGACTTTGACTTCACAATTCCAAATATTACTTGCAATTGAAAGATGAGTCCATTACACATTACATCCAATTACTTTGAAAAAATGTAATGATTACAATGCATTACCATTACCCTAGGTCTGATACAAACTGTAATGTACATATTGTATATATTTTTGAAAGAATTTAATCATATGATCATGATGATTGAAATATTTTATTGTTTGTTCATAATTTATATTTATCAGTTCAGGTATTCTGCCATCAACAAATTATGAATAAATGAATCCTGTACCTTAGACCAAAAGTGTTTTAAGTTTTTCTCACTGTTATAATCAAGAATGCCATAAATTAGTATGCATTACATGCTTATCTCATTCACAAATTTGTTACTCTGCTATACTTAGAGAGACATAATTGCAACTTTCAAATATTTGTTGTAGAAATATTCACATTTTTGTTCAATTTCCTCAAATTTCAAAGGATCATAATGTATTTGCTCACACAAAAATCCACATTTTGTGTAAAAACACAGGAGCTGAAACAATTTTTTTTTAATTTCTTTAATAGAGTTGTTGTTCAAGGACTTGCATGGGTTGTTTATTGAATGGTGAGTGCTAACTTCAGGTTCTTCTCCTGTATAGTCCTGTAGTTTTATGTAATTGGCCAATACAGGATGAAATGACAAGAGGCTTAAAAATTGTCCCAAACACATGGAATATCTGTTCCAACTTGAGTGTGACAGTCTTTGTGCCTCTCACAGAATGAAGCCACAGCAAATATCGAAGCCGTACAGTGCTTACACGACCCATCATCTCTAAAATCAAGAGAATTTTTGTTCAAAGTGATGAAGTATTGAATATGAAATTTCATGACATGAATTAAGTGTATTGAGCAATTTACATCATCATAAATGCTTAGGCTGAGACAAGGCTCCCTCTGTGTATGTTTTTTTTTTATGAACATTAGTATATCTTTATGAAATAACATTTTTGATAATTATTGCTTTAAATCCTACTGGAGAATCTGTAGTCATAATGTGAAAACCAGAATATTTTATTTACACTACATCTACCTGAGTGAATCTGTCCATTGCCCTCAACAAATATCCAGGTCTTGTACGGATCTGCATTCTGGCTAGTCTCAGGAACTGTGTCACTCTTGGTGTACTGAAAATCATCAGACGGGGGGACACTTTCACTTTATCAACGTGGTTGTTTTAGTCTGTATCATTGTCTTGTCTCTGTCTATGTTTTCAATTGAGAATGACGTACTCCAGCCATCGTTCAAAAGTTTTATGAAAACATCAGAAATCTCAATGTTCGGCAGTTTTATGAGATCTTCAGACCACCTATCAACACTTGTTATATTTGGAAAACTTTATCTACAACAGTTTGACATCACCACCCTGTAATCATCTGCCACTTCTGAATTTCAACTGCCAGTTCACAAAGTCTTATCAATGATGTTTTAAATATATTGAAAAAGCTATACCTTTAAGGGATAAAAAGTCTTTCAGCATAGGCACTTGCCAAGAATTGAAATTATAGTCGTAATCGCAGTCTGCATCTAATGACGCCATCGTTTACGATGAAAACGGAAGTAAACATGCCCTACATTTCACATTTGCGTGATGTAAAAATCGGGTCGAAAACGTATCTCGGAAGTCGCGTATTCCAAATATTGTTGTTGGCTCAGTGCTTGAATAACATAAAAGATCCATTTTCATACATGTAACTAATGTTCTTGTTATCTTGTAAGTAACATAACTGTTTTAGTATTTTGTGACCTTGACCTTCTAATGACCTTAGACTCACATTCATGAATTTTTAATATGTAACCCACATACATAATTCAAACATAAGCGACATTGAAATACATTCAGTGTGTAACCCAGCTAGAGCAAGATATTCTTGTCCCAATTGCATATTTGTCTCCTTGTAAATCTGTATGTTTGTTTTTATTTATTACCTGGTACTGGATACTGTTAAATATACATGTAGATATGGTTTATAATTAGCCACTTTAGATAAGATAAACCCCATAAAAATGAGGAAATTAAGAAACATACAATAATATTAGTATATTTTTGTTTTTTTTTTAATTTTTAGCTTACAGGATCAGAAACTGTTTGGGAGGCATTTGAACAGCAGGTCGCTAATTATAATTTTAAAACATCACTGTTTGACACAGTAGTAAGTTATTTTTTTATAGTTATATCAAGATTTTCATAAATTTCAGTTACGTGGGAAATTCACAATTTGCAGACACTCTGTACTTTCAAATATGCATTTGCCTGTGTGCAGCCTTTAATATTGTGTTGTTATGATTGTAGATGGTAGCAGCACTTCGGTTTGTTTTGATTGAGCTTGGTTACGCATTGTTCAGACTGAATCATTGGTGGCTCATTGCTGTAAGTACCTCCAGTATTTAATAGTAGACTCATTGCTGTAAGTACCTTCAGTACTTTATAGTAGACTCATTGCTGTAAGTACCTTCAGTACGTTATAGTAGGCTCATTGCTGTAAGTACCCTCAGTACTTTATTGTAGTTCATTGCTGTAAGTACCCTCAGTACTTGTATATCATTGCTGTAAGTACCTTCAGTACTTTATAGTAGGCTCATTGCTGTAAAGTATTTTCAGTATTTTAAAGTAGACTTATTGTTGTAAGTATCTTCAGTACTTTATAGTAGGCTCATTGCTGTAAAGTATTTTCAGTATTTTAAAGTAGACTTATTGTTGTAAGTACCTTCAGTACTTTATAGTAGGCTCATTGCTGTAAAGTATTTTCAGTATTTTAAAGTAGACTTATTGTTGTAAGTACCTTCAGTACTTTATAGTAGGCTCATTGCTGTAAAGTATTTTCAGTATTTTAAAGTAGACTTATTGTTGTAAAGTATCTTCAGTACTAAATTATAGTAAGCTTATTGTAATGAGTACCTTCAGTGCTTTTTGTAGTACACTCACTGCTGTATCATTAGTACTCTATAGTAGGCTCATTGTTGTATAATTCAGTACTTTAAAGTAAGCTCTTGTAGTCAATATAAGCATCTTCAGTACTTTGAAGTAGAATTTTTCCCTTGATCAAAATGTTATTTCCCTAAATTATATTGATTATTTGGAGTTCATTCTCCATATATCTTGGTCTTATTTTTGTCATAAATTTTTGAGGAAGAAAATTAGGAATTAGTAAAATAGTGAACAAGCAAAGCTAATATTACCAGTCAATTCAGGATGATATGCATTTGTCTAAACAGACATGGTTTTAATAAATTAATGAAAGTTTTTTTTGATTACTTATGCATATCTTTTTGCCATTACAATTCTGCACTTACATAACATACAAATAGAATAACCACACTTTTTTTTTTAAATTTTACATTGGGGAATACAAGTGCATGCATTTGTACATGCCTGTACCTTCAACTTTCTTGTTATATTTTACAATGATTTATCAGTTAATAGATCATTATGTGTAATACAGGAATATATTTACTTTGTGTGAACCTCTCCAGTTACAGATAAAGTAATACATTTACACAGAGGGTTTCTTTGGTGTATTGGGATAAGAAAAGACAACTTTTATTAGTGCAGGTGTACCAGCTGTACATGCAAATATATATGTACATTGGTAAAAAGTGAATCTAATCTGAGAATTATTCAAAATATATGTGTACATTTAAAAAATTGTTTACCTGAAAAAATTGTTGCATACAATGCAGAATTTATCATGGTTAGTCTGATAGTGTCTTACATATTGAGTATCATAGACAACAAATTGTACAATTATAAATATAGATAAAAAAGTTTAATATCTCTGTTGATACTGTTTACTTACTAGATAACATTTGATCCTTTGAGATGATAAAATCACAAGGAAAAATAAAGGTACCGTTACTATATTTTACAGATATCCACATCATTAACTTGTATATTTCTGATAGCCAAAGTATTTTTATTCGAGGTACGTATGTGTTTATTTAATTTATTACCCTTCAAATTCAGCAAACTTCATATGAGGAAATAAACTTGAATACTGATGAAGATAACAACAAGTACAATATTGGACCTTCAGCCCCCCCCCCCCCCCAAAAAAAAAAAAAAAAATTGTCTCGGCAGTTTGTACCTGAAATCATTCTGTGTGTTGTGTTATATCTTTCAGTTCAGCCATGCTGGTAAACCAGAGAATCCTCTGAGCTATATTCTTTTGTTAGCATCATTTATCCTTACATGGATTGAGACTTGGTTTCTGGATTTTAAAGTCCTGCCAACAGAGAAAAAGATACTACTTAAAGGTATATATATTTACTTTATTGTAATAATAGAGCAAATTCATTAGACTAAATAAGACCATATTTTACAAATGAAAACTTGTCTAAAAAATTTTATGAATTTGATTTTATTTATTAAATTCTAGTAAATGTTTGATTAATAAGAAAAATAAAAAAATTAATGTACTGAGCATAAAATGTATTTATTTACAAAATACTGACATTTAATCATACATGTACACATTTTAAATCGGTAACACTTGCTGTACATTTCTTGATATCTGTATTTAGGAACACATGGACAACCAAATGAGAGGTCAAGTTTACTGCGGCATGCAGAGGAAGGGAATAGCATCCCAGATGATGACAAAGACACGCGATACTACTCACCTGCAGGTAAAGTCGGAACACATGTAGTGTTATTTTAGTTTGTACTTGATGTATCCATGAAGCTGAGTATAGAGGTGGCTCTCTTACACCTGTGAGTTTTCTCTGGGTACCTCAGATTCCTTCCCTATAAATGACCAAAATTTTACATGTGCAGGTTACCAACAAGACCACATGTTATCATCTGTAGAATAATAGAACCAATGCAAGGCCACATAAACTGTGTTTTTAAGATAAATGTCTTATCCTGAGTTGATAAAAAAAAAAAAAAAAGAATAGATTTGTGCATTTATAATCAATTCAATGAAATACTAGTACTGGTAATCTGTTGTAATGTCAGGCATGTACTAATTAACTGATGACCTATACATATGTATGCCCTTATTTGTTCAGGTTTGTTCAGGAAAAAGTTGACATATTCAACACAGCTCTTGTTCAGTACCTTTACAATGTTTAAGATGCATAGTGTAATCATCCTTATCTTAAGAGAATCAGATAGTACTTATATTTGAATATTATCTTATTTCCTCAAAATTTAATTTTCAATTTTCCTTTTCATTGTCATACAATGGATACCAGTTTACTTCCATCTCAATGTTTTTTTTATCTTCATTAGGGTTTTCTGTGAATTTACTCTGATTGTACAAGATGAAAAAAAAGATAAATTCATAAAAATTAATTTGTTTGGGCATTGCTTTTAAAAAGTTTTAAAAAAGAGATTACACAAAAATTAATTTGTGTGGGTATTGCTTTTAAAAAGTTTTAAAAAAGATTACACAAGTTTACAAGGTTATGATACAAATGTCCATGTGTTGATGAAAAGAAGGATGAGCATTTGCCATAAGAACTAAATGAATATGGGGAAAAAATGATTTATGGATGTACTGTGGTAATCTGCATATCGATCTCTTCACACATTGAATTTTCTGAAGATGTTTTCATTCCACGCAACTTATATCACGCAGAGTTCTTATACATCTGCTGGCTCTTGTACCTTAAACATATTAAGAAGAAGATTTGAAAACACAGTCAGCTCATTCTAAACAAAATCTTTCAAAATTTTAAGAACCCCCCCCCCAACATTTTAAATTTCTTCAAGTAGGTCAGAAGTCCTGCACTGAATGACTCAAGAAAAGAGGTATAGCGCCCTTTCCCTGTATTTGGCCTACGACCAGGTTTAAATGGAAAGTACTTGTTTCTTTGAATAGATTTACTTGGCGCATTGGTATAGGAAACCACTTTATGAAATAAATATTCGGAACTACTTCTACACACACACACACACACGCATCCAAAACATCCAAAATAATCCTTTAATTTATATTATTAAGTAAATTTAGGTAAAAACAAATACAAATTATACCAGTACCTGGCAAAAATAGTCATAATTATCTCAAACAAGATCAATGAAATTTACAGAGTTTGTATGGAGTATATGGAGAACTACAGAGTGAGCATTCTTAAACTTAAGGTACAGTCAAACCTCATTATCTCGAACTTGATGGGACCTAGGGTTCGAGATATCAAGGGGAAAACACTTAAGAAAGACGTGGTTAAGACTTCAGATCACTGACATATCCATAGTATTCGAGATAACAAAGTTCAACTGTATATGTATTTGAATCAACTTAAACCAGAGACATCTTAATGAGATTGTGTTCTTTTGATATTATAGTATACTGTTAAAATCTTTTTGGTTTAACTTGGTCTTTATATTAAAAATTGATTATAAACCTCATGAAGTTATCCTATTTACCTAAAGACTCTAGCTCGGGGCTATATGCTAGTATACATAAAAGACATGATTTCTTAAAAGTCTGCGTAGCCTAGTGGTGTATGCTGAACTGTTATTGTGTTTAAGCCCCCCAAATTTCAGATTTTTTTTTTTTGCATAAATGATAGTTATTAGTACATATTTAATTCTCTCTTTTTTTTTTTACTTAAGCTAGTTATATTTTAATCATCGTATTTTCCTCATAATATACACATCAGAAACAAATATTAACGTTACCCGACTTAATATGACATGGGATTTTCGATAATTTTGGAAAGAAGAGATACATAAAGAAAAAGTAGATTCGTTGACAACGTACTTAAGATGCAGCAGTAGTTCCCAAAACGAATAGTGATGTAGACATGATAACAAAAATCTTGAGAACAGTCAAGAAATCTTGATACACAATTCTGTTAAAACGTCAAACAAATCAAAAATATTAAAATCATTAAGATTTGATTTGATTATAGTGATATATTCATACGTATGTTTAGAAGGACTGATTCTGAAGTTACCAAATAAAAACATCTCGTTTCTATAGTGTTTCTTGTGAATTTATATAGCCCGAATCAGAGCATAAGTTTACGGGTAAATCTTTTTAAAAATATGTATGTAGAAGTAGCTCCAAATATTTATTTCATAAAGTTGGTTTCCTAAACCAACGCACTAAGTTAATCTATTTATAGTAACAGGTACTTTCCATTTAAACCTGGTAGTAGGCGAAATTCCTGGAAAAGGTGCTATACCTCTTTGCAATTCTTTTCTGATCATTCCGAAATTGATTGACTTGGGATTGCCGTATCTCCCGAACAGATGTCTAGAGAAAAAAAATCTTGCATATCTAGCATTTAATAAATTTAAATTATAAACTCTGTTTTGTTCGGTGCTTTTCAAAACAGTTTCTTGAATGCTTTTGGAATACGATCCCTCCAATAAGGTATATTATTTTAGGGGAGTACCTGGTAAATATTTGCGTATAGAATCATTTGGTTTAAGCAGGCCCGTAGAACGCGGAATGGCCAGCCCACTTTTTTCCGAGTATGGTACCTGGTATTTTGCTTTAGTTAATTTTCTTTTAGATGCTGGTTGCTCCCCCCCCCCCCCCCCCCACACACACACACACACACACTTTTTTTTGATGTTGTAAGTTCGAGCACTGGCCAAATTCCAGGATTTGGACAGTAAATTAATTTTTTTTTTTGCTTCTCAGATAATTTTGGGAGCCCCCCCCCCCACTTTTGGTCAGTTGGTTTTTTTTTTTTTTTCTTTTTTTTTTGCTTGTCAGATAATTTTGGTCATGAATGTATCTGAACACAGTAAATCGATCGTGACTTGAGATCGATAATCAGTTACCGTGATAATTTTTGCGCTATGATTTTTGACTAAATATAATATGGGATTTTCGACTATTTTGGAAAGAAGAGACATATAAAGAAAAAAAATGTATTCGTTGACGACGTACATTAGGTGCAGCAGTAGTTCCCAAAACGAATAGTGATGTAGACCTTTCATGATAACAAAAATCTTTTAAACAGTCAAGATATAATCTTGCTTTGTCAAACAAAACAAAAACATTAAAATTATGAAAAAAAAAATTATTTGATTTTAGCGATACATGTACATGTATAATTATTCAAATGTGCAGAAAGGCTGGTTAACGTTGTGAAGTTATCAAAGAGAAATATCTTGTACATGTATATACAATAGTTTTGTTTCTCTTGAATTTATAGTCCGAATCAGAGCACAAGTTTGCGGATAAATATTTTAAATGATATATATGTAGAAGTAAGTTCGAATATTTTTTCACAAAGTTGGCTGGTTTCTTAAACCAATGCGGTAGTGGGCGAAATTCCTGGAAAAGGCGCTATACCTCTTTGCAATTCTTTTCTGCCTCTCTTATTTGATGTTGTTGATATGTTATTTGTTGCTGTTTATTTAGTATTTTCATTCCGTAATTGGTTGACTTGAGATTGCCATATCTCCTGAATAGATGTCTTGAGAAGGAAATCTTGCATATCTAGCATTTAATAAATTGAAATTATAAGCTATGTTTTGTATGGTGCCTTTTGAAATAATTAGTTTCTTTAATGCTTTTGGAATACGAAACATATATAAAAGCGTCGTAGGGGTATTATTTCAAGCGTGTAAATATTTGCGTATAGAATCATTTGGTTTAAATAAGAGAACACATTCAAGATATATCAGTAGTAATGAAATCTTTACCAGCATTAATATCGTAAATTGTTCAGTCATGAATATACTCGAACATGTTAAATCGATCGTGACTGGAGATCGATAATCAGTGACCGTGTCAGTTTTTGGGCTATGATTTTTGATGTTCAGGATTTAAATGACCAACTTGAATCATACGATGTTTAGCGCTGTCGATCGTAAGACCTGTAAGTAAACCGAGAGTAGAGAAAGATGGGGCCGTATTAATGCGTAAAAGGTGTTTTGGAATATAAACTTCAACATGTCTCTTAAAACTGGACGAAGTAAAGTAGCCCACCTGTCTTTTATCGACAGGATTAAACATAAAATTTCACGCACAGAACATGAAGGTAAACCTTAAATATCTTTCTAGTTTTTTGCTATTTTTTTATTAAAGAAATGTATATACTAATTTGTTTTATTATATCTAAAAATTGGTCTGTTTGTTTGTGTATTGTTTAACGTCCCTCTCGAGAATTTTTCACTCATATGGAGACGCCACCACTTGCCGGTGGAGAGCTGCAAATTTTTGACCTATACTCGGCACTTACGGCCATTGAGCAGTGAGGGATCTTTTTCGTGCCAGTACCTACTGCGACACGGGACCTCGGTTTATACGGTCTCATCCGAAGGACCGGTCTCCATGTCCCACAGTGGGATTCTAACCCGCGACGTAAGGATCAACTCCTTACTCCGCGACTCTAGAGCGAACGCTCTAACCACTGCGCCACGCGGGCGACAAAAAATTGGTCTGAGATATTTTGTATGGAGATTTGACACGACATATATATTTTTCTCTTAGCGGTAACATGTATGATAAGCTAAGTTATATTTATAAACGTTCTAGTTTTCTTTCACGTTTCTCGAACATTTATGTTGCAGGCTCATTGCAACGTTTTTCAAATATAGGGGATTTGGAAAATTAAAAATGTATGTGTAGAGGGGAAGGGGGAGAGACGAGCTCTTGGCCGAAATATTCACATTTTTGTTTTTGAATTGAAAAGAATACCAGTTAGGTGTGTGTGTGTTTTTGCTGTGTTGACTCAAAACTATATCACGACATTTTTACTTGTAAGTGCACATAAGAACTAGACTTTTCTCCAGGTTTTTCTGTAAGAGTGAATGGTGTAATCAGATTTATTTCCTCGATATTACGGTGTTACGGTAATAGTGAATACTCCTTAATTTTAATACGTGAGGTAATTTTGCGTAACATTCAGTTGTTTTGCCGGAGAAGCCTTGCCATTTAAATATTTAATACAGTAAAAACAAATCTTATGTTTTGTTTAATTTAGAAATAAAGAGACTAAATTACATAATAAATTCCCAATTGACTTCTTAACGTAACTTGTTCCAACAGATTTTTTTTTCCGGTACATATTCAAACGCTTCCAAAAATATTCTATCCGTCTTTCCTAAAAAGTCCGTACATGAATATAATTTTTTTTGGTTTATTGCTTTCTTCAGTATTTTGTATATATAATAGTGGAAACCATTATCATATACATTTTTAATATTCAATGTCACGGTATCGTCTTACAATAATTACCCTTACATTTAAGTGCATTATAAATTCATCGTAACATTTTCTTGATGCGTTATTCCACCGACAACAATAAATCTCATATATAACAATTAGACTGGAAATCATTCTTGAATTTTAAGTGAATCTTTTTGTATCATAGCAGAGTCTTTCTTGTTCGGTCGTTCTAACAAAAACTTAACAATATCATGGAGAGGTGACGATATGGCGTTTTCTGTGAAAACGTATCTATATTTAGAAATTACATTTATTGAATTCGATGGTTAATGCTGGTGTATTGGGGAAAAAATTAAAAGATCTTGCGATTTTGTGTGCTTCAAACATTTACACTTTCCTGATGTTTAAAGCTCCATTTCACTTGTTTAATAGAAAGGAAAAAGTCTTTAAATTCAAAGTATGTGTGGTTTATTATTGGGTTTTAAATGAAAAAAAAAGTTGACTATTATTACGAAATGTTCTACCGAATTTTTCAAATCAAATTTGGTAAGTTTGGAGTAGTAAAATTGTATGATTTAATGTGAAAATTTAGCTGCAATTTTTGTGTATATTAAATAATTTATATCTGTATAATTATTTATATATATCTATATAATTTATATATAGTGGAATGTTAACATTTTATTTATAATAAGTTTCTAAAGTTAGGAAGGGGGGGGGGGTGCCCAAAGCTTCACTTATTTTGTGTGCTAATTATAAAACGAAAATGCGGGGCTTTTAACAACCTTCAGTTTTTTTATGCAGCATGTTGATACTGCATGTCTTGCACTTTCAGGGTCAGATGATGAGAGTGACATGGACAGGTACCGCAGTGTCCCCTCCACCCGCTCACACAGCCGAAAGGCAAGTCAATCCTCCATTAACAGTATGCTGTTCAATCAGGTAGATGGCAGAAATCGTTTTCTACCAGCCTCCCCCTACCAGGCTACTTAGCTAATCCTTCTGGAGCAGCTTGTCAGAGTATTCAGCTCTACACAGCAGCAAACTGAAAAACCTTCCTCCACTAAATCAATGGTTGAATAATCTGAAATGTAGTGGATTAGTGTTTGCACTGTGCACATTTCACCAGCTGATTTTTTATTCATGGAAAAGGGTTCATTTTACGCTAATTGGTTTCAAAAACATATTTTCATCAAATGACAGTTGCATTACCAAGCATAGAAATAATATTCTTTGAGAAAGGGTTAATGTTCAGCTATTGATTTCTATTCTCAGGGTAAAAAGCAATGTACACCAAAGTCCTAGTTTGACCCTCTAAAATTGTTAAGATTTAAAGTGTTTATTTCAGAAAACAAAACTTTAAATGCCAACTGTACTTGTTGTTGTTAGAAATGGTGTAAATTATGTTTGCAAGTTTGAATATTGAAGTCCTAGATTTTGTCACTATTCCCATTTTAAAAAAAATGAAAATTTCTTCCAGAAATGGCCAATATTTTAAAACTTTTCTTTCAATAAATGAATATCGAATAAAGCACAACCTGATCCAAAAATAACAAGAAAATACTAAGAGGACTGTTGAGTAAAATTACATTTATTTATTTTTGAATGTACTCTAATACAGAAGTTTTCTTTAAAAAATGCAAATTCACATGCCTTTTCACCAATGACAATGTTTGAAATTTGACCCAGTTAGATTCACAGGCAGTGCTTTAATGGGCATTTAATGGACATTAAAATGAGAACCTTTTTTCTGTCAGCTAGGATAAAACTACAAATGTAGACAAGTGCTGTGGTAATAGTAACGGCAAACACAAGTGTCAATATGCATCCACTTCTACTTTGTATATTTTACACTTACACTTGGTCCAAAATAGTTTATGCAACGCAGATATTATTACCAGGTAAAAGTTGTTCAGTTGAGTTGTGTGCAAATATAAGTGATAATTAATGCAGATGTGGTTGATTTTATCTTGACCAGCTTTTCACTGTACAATGTACATTGTATGAAATATGACAGAACCGTAATGTAAGGAAGAGTCGTAAAAAGCAAACTAAGGTACATGTATATCTAATGGATGTTTTCCTTATGAATGTCTTCCTGAAATGACTGGACCATTGATTGGCTTTTGAATATTTGATTGTCTGGATGTTTACATCCTTGTAAAACAAAAACAAGAAGAAAAAAAATCTGTGATATAGCTTTGGTTTTCAATTCAGTGTACTAAGGAAACTCAACATTGAAATTATTTCATTAATGTATGATGTATAACAGATAGCTTAGCAAGGATTTCAATGGAGAAAAAATATTAAACATTAATACTGTATTCAGTATTCAAAACATTATAAAAAAAAAGTACCATTTTGTCAGTAAATTACTTTTAAAAAAAAAATTAATTGGGGACAGAATAAATACCCCATACCCCCACCTGCCAAAATGATATTGAAGGGAAGGATTTTAATATCTTCACTTGAGAGCTAAACTTTATTCCTTTTTATTTTAATTTGAGTACATGCATAATTTTGTAAATAACAAAATCAATATATGAAGACCAGCAAGTTCTGGAATATGAAACTCAACCAAATGCTTAAATAATTTAAACATGCTTAGATAATTAAATCAAACTTAAAAGAAAACTTCAAAATATTAAGATCAGAATTCTTGACTTCCATTTACAGGACCTTGAGTACTTGAAGATAGCTAAAGGTGCTATGGATATGCTGTGGGAGCTGGTGAGAGAAGAAGGATGGACTATAGAGAAAGAGAGAGAAGAAGATGTTGTCAGGAGTGCATACATCAAAAAGCTCAAGAGGAAGATCTACAAACTAGAGGTTATATATAGATTAACACTTTGTAAATACAGTTGAACTTTGATATCTTGAACACCAATATCTCAAATTTCATGGATATGTCAGATTTATTCTTAAAGTATTTTACCCTCTATATGTCGAATCCTCAGATATCTCGAAGTTTTTTCTTGGTTCCTTCAAGTTTGAGATAACAAGGTTTGACTGTATCTTGTAAAGAAAAACATAATACATGAGTGCTGGAAATACACAGGTTTATATATATGATGGTCCTTAAGGACATATTGAGGTACACATGTATTTTTCCAAAGAGAAATAAATTTGCAAATTATTAAGTAAAAATAAATTTTTTGAATCGTGTAAAATTATGTTATTTTTAATTGTATTTTATAGTGTATTTTGGACATTAGTCCCAAGGAACTCTGGCTAGACACTATTGAGAATATTAATGAGTCACCAAGTTGGAATCCAACATTGCTGGAAGCAAGGGTATGAAAAAAAGCTTGAAAATTTGTTTTGAGTATTTGGCATGTGTTTATTGCCTATAAATAGCCCATCAAGATTTTAAATCAGTTTCATAATATTTGAAGGAAATTATAATTATGATGTAATTCTCAATAAATCATGGCTTACATATGATACTACCTGACGTGACAAATTACACATGATATTACACAATATTTACATTTCCAAATGTTTTCCTTTATATAACACTATAAAAAACATGTGTATCTATATCTGTATAAACATGGGTTCCTCGCGTCATAAACGTTCGACGTAATTTCTCAGTGACATCATAAAGGGTCGATGCGCAATCAATAGATCAAACTTGTGCCGTTGAGTTTGATAAAATAAAACATTTCACACATTAAAGGTTATAAACAGGCTAATAAATAATATGAATAAATCACAAATGTAAATATAAGTAATAAGGTTTCATTTTAAAACATCTGTCGGGATATAAATACGGGTTGGTACGAGATCAAATTTACCATAAAGCCCTTCGGGCTTTATGGAATTTGATCTCGTGACCAACCCGTATTTATATCCCGATAGATGTTTAAAAATGATACCTTATTTCTTAATAATATTGCAACAATATTTAATGAAGATTATTCTCAATCACAAATCTTTCTTGCTAATTACACTGTTGAATTTTATTTTTGAAATGGAAATTAACATGGAATGCTTTGTGTATTTCAGTTTTATTAGACAGCATTTTTGCTTTTGCTTTTTATTTTTCATATAAATGTAAATATAAGGAATCAGTGTTTAGTTTGTTAGGTATGCCAGGGACATTAACGATAGTTGGAAACATGGGATAATATATGCAAGAGTGAGGTTAATATATTTACTTGTATTATATGATATAAGAGAGGATAATATATCCAATTTTGCAGACACTACAGGTAGTAGATGACAGGACAGACATTAGTTACAATATAGCAGCAGAGGCCGCTGGAGGTCTTGTGTCTGCCCGGGACTTCATAAACTTACGACATTGGGGGGAGAAGGATCAGACTCTCTTCATTGCAGTGGATGGGGCTACTTTTCCTGACATGCCTCCACAGAAAAAATATGTCAGGTTAGTTAGCAAGCTTGATAAAATCAATAACAGTTTTAAAAATTAATGAACCTCTGAGTAAATTTATTGCATTTCCTGTAATAAACAAGTGTTAAGTGTATATTAAATTGTATTAATCAATGAGATTTCTACTGAAAGCCTCTTTATGAATAACAGAAATTCATTATTTGAATAGGGGTGTAAGTGGCCCTGGAGGAATGGTGTTTCATCGTATCGAAGGACAGCCCAATAAATGTAGATTAGATTGGTATCTTAACACAAATCTAAAGGTGAGAAGAGTTTAATGTACAAATCATTCTCTTATTCAGTATTGCCCTCTACTTTTGAATTATTAAAAAAAAAAGAAATGAGCAGTATGAGATAAGTATGCAAATTACATTTTCAAACCAAAAATAATATATCTATTATTAAATGCTTACCAAAATATCTTTTGATGGAATGTAGCTGATGCAGGTTTTCTTTTTCTGGGATAAATTTTAATTGAATATATATTACAGGTGTGCACTTTGCCTCAAGAAAAGTTGAAATTGGTTATTGATGATGATAATACCATAATATAAAAATCAATAGATCAAATTTAGTAGTTTAATGTGATTTCTATATCTAATTATAAATGCAACAACTATGAGGAATTTTATTGATTACAAATAATTAATTCTTATACAACATAATAATATTCATTTGTGTATGTTTTCTGTTTTGCAGGGTTGGATACCCCAGGCTGCTATTGACCAAGGCTTAACAAGTGTTCTAATGGATTATAGTAAATACCTCAGACTTCACATTCTGGAGATCAAAACTAGAAACATTAGCTAATAACAAATTACATAGATCTACCAAATCCTGTGATGTAAGATGGTTATGTGAAAGAGATTTATTGAAATGACTTAATATTATATTTAGCAAGATAAATAATCAAGGAAGTGACTTATTCTTGCATCAACATTTTTGGAAAAGGCAGTATTTATGATATTGTCATATTGTCAAAAAAGGCAGTATTTGTCATATTTAATATCATCTACTTAAATCATTTTATTTATTTTTCATTCATTCTTTGAATGATGTTTTCCCCCATGAAATGACTTGTACATTTATGATTTTTTTTTTCAAAAAAGCTTTTTGTTTTTGCTGTGCAATTTCTTAGGTTTCGAGGAGGAAATTTTGCTGAAATAATTATTTTCAGTGTTTTATTTATGTAAACAGATATTTTATGAATTTTATGATATAAGTCAAATAGTATAGTGATTAATATTTGACATCATTTTCAAACTGGTTTTAAAGCTTCAGTATTCAAAAGGGTGTTGTTTCATAGTTGCTATATTGTGATTACACTTTGTAGAAACTTCCCCCATGTAATTATCTTGAGATTTGTGAAATTATAATTGTATCCCCCCCCCCCCCCCCCCCCCCCCCCGATAAAAATGCATAAATATTGTCTGATTTAAAAATATGACAAAAATCTTCTAGCCATGAAATCAAATTTTTTTTTTGAAAAAGACAAGACTCTATTTATAAACAGTACTAACAGTTTCTTTTTCTTTACACAATGTGAATATTGCACAGTCATATTAGGAGGGCATTGAACATTTTAACGGATTGACAGGACATTTCAGCAGGAAAAATGAAAGTTTTAGGGGAAAATTGGTGGACATTTTAGCATTATTTGAAATAAGATGTGGGTATTTTTATCGGGAGAGTTATACAAGAAATGCATATATCCTTTTAGTTAGCTATATTCTGTTTGATTCCCCTTTCTTGCAAACGGTGAGGTGGAAGTCAGATTTTGAGGATATAATTGATTTTAATATAGTCAAATAAATATCAAATGACCATATCGGATACAAGATTTGGAGTGATTCACAGAGCATCTCAAGGAACATCTTCATATTTTAATAATGCATCATCTCTGTAATACAACCCTTCAAAATTGATATACTCTCTTCCCCTGATTTGTTTCTACCTCAGCCACTTCCATACTCTTCAGTGTTTTAATAACAGATGAATATGTACAAGGATTTACATGTATGGATATGCTAGGGAGTTTTATTCAAGTGGAGATTTCTTATCTTTACCATCATAACCTCCAAAAGAGTTGTGGAAACAAAATTCATTAATCTGCTGACTTTAGATCAATTTTTGCGGACTTTTCATTCATTATTGAAAAAGATTTAAAGTTTTCTCCAAAAGAAAAGTGTCCATTGAATTTTACAGGTAACTAATTTTTCTTCTGCTAAAATGTTAACTAAAGTTCCTACTCAATGTCCATTCACACCTTTAGAAATTCTGCTTAGCCAGTTTTCTTTCTCCCAAAAAGTACCCACTGAATTTTACAGGTAACCTTTCCCCTCGCTATAATGTTAACTAAAGTTCCTGCTTAAATGTCCATTGACACCTTTAGAAATTCTGCTAAAACGTTCTGTGCCCCATTGAAGGTAACCAATTTCCATTTTGTGTTGATTTCCTTATCAGCAATTTCAATTACATAGTGATTCTCTGTTTCTTATCCATATGCACATTGACTTTAAATTTTATATCCATGTTTAATGTAAATTTATGAGCTATTTTATGTTGTATTGTTTTTTAAAGTGAATTATGACAAGTGGTTGTTTGTGATAAAGTACATGTAACATGTATTGGTATAGAGGGTGTGTATTAGATATCCCTCTGCGATTTTCTTCGTACTAAATACATATAAGAAGTGCATATAGATTCATTTCCAGAGAAAAATTTTTAGTCCCCAGAAGGATTTACATTATTTAACTTGTGGAATTTCATTTTCTTGAATTTTCACTATTAAATTGTAAAAGTATAGTTGTAATTTGTAATTCTTTTTTAAACACTGAGTCTGTGAAAGGGGAAAGTAAAATAATGCTTAAGTGTCCAGATGGATTTAAAAATTCAAAAGTGGAAAGGATAGCAGTCAACCTGTTCAATCGAAATGACCCACCAAAAATATCGATGATATTAACATGTTATTAACATGATACCTGAAAATGCCAGATATTGCTAAGGCACTACAAAGTTCATAGAAATCTAACAAGGGAAATGAATCTGACCAAATTCCTGTTAGATTGGTGTGTCACTTGCTGACAAATGCCCCAAAAGAAACATGCATTAAATTTACCAAGGAACAGCTTAAACATTTTAACAGAAGAAAGTGTGATAAACTTTTAAGGGCGACGAAACATGAATGTACTATTTTGAGCCCCAGAGTAAGACCGATAATAAAATCTGGCATCATGGAGGAGGCTTTAGTCCTTTTATTGCAAAGAGAAACCATAGCTCCAAAAAAGTGTTAACCAGTATTTTATTTTAACTTGAGAGGTCCAGTAAAACAGGTACATAAACTCAAATGAAGACCCTTTTATGTTATTAATCTATTAAGGAAAGTTTAAGTGAGTATTCTGTAGAGGTGTTAAAATAGCAGTTACAACGCTGCTGCAAGAGCTGTCAAAATAGCGGTTACAACGCTGCTGCAACCTTAACCTTGATTCTCTCCGTGCCAGAAGGCACACAAGGCCTCGACATCCCTCTTCCACTGGGGCCGGTCCGAGGCTGCACGAAGTTCCGTGTTCCAAGACTTCCAGCCCGCATCATTCCACTCCACCTCCTGCATCCGCCGCCATGTTGTCTTGGGGCGACCTCGCTTCCTTCTCCCCTCAGGCGTCTACCCGAGGGCCACAACACGGGTTGGGTCCTTCCTCAGCACATGGCCGATCCAATTCCATCTCCTCCTTCTGACCTCGCCACTGATGTTTTCTGCTCCTGTCATCTCCAGAACTGTCTTGTTTGGGATATGCTGCTGCCATCTGACCTTGAGAATCCTTCTCAGCAATACCTCCGCCGTCCTTGGTGACATTGGCGCCCAAGGAAAGTGAAGCTGTCCATCTCTTCGGCTTCACTGTTTTCGACTTTCAGGCTGGATTCACTCTTGCTGTTTATCTTTATCTTATTTGCACTTCTTGGCATTCAGCTTCATCCCAACTTTTGCTGACTTGTCTTCCAGTTATGTCGTCTTGGACGGAAGATAGTTCATTGTTGATGACCCAAGGGCAATGTCGTCCGCAAAGTCGAGGTCTTCAAGCATAGTGGTGAAGTCCCATCGAATTCACATTCTCTCACCTCTGACTGTCTGTTGCATCACCCAGGCTATCACCAGGAGGAACAAGAAACCTGACATACAGCATCCTTGTTTGACGCCGGTCATCAGTAATGACATAGAAAGGGGCTGTGGTCTCATCTTCGTCAATTACAGAACACTGAAAATCGTCACACCATCTTAATAAGTATTTTGGGTATTCCATATTTCTTCATGATGACCCAAAGGCTGTCTCTGTGCACAGAATCGAACGCTTTCTCAAAATCCACAAAACGGATGTACAGGGTAGCGTTCCACTCATTGACTTGCTCCAGGATGTTCCTGAGGATGAAGATCTGATTGACAGTCCCTCTCCCTTTCCGGAACCCTGCCTGTTCTTTCCTGAGGGTGTGGTCAACTCCGGCCTGTATCCTGTTGATGAGGATTCTGCTGAGTGCTTTGCTGGCTAGGGGCAGCAATGTCGCCCGCCTCCAGTTGCTGCAGTCCTGTAAGTTTTCTTTCTTGGGAATTTTGAAGATCAATCCTTTGGTCCATTCTTTGGGCACCTTCTCCTCCTTCCATATCTGGGTATGCTTCAGTTCCTGACTGGTCTGTTTGAGGTCTGCCTTTAGCATTTCTGCTGTTATTTGATCTGCTCCAGGGGCCTTCCCATTCCGAAGCGTCTTCAATACAGCCCTTATTTCCTGTGTAGTGGGTGGCTCAACTGAAATGTCTAGCTCCTCTCCCTCTTCATGTTCATCTTAAGCTTGTTATGGTGACTCTGGAGTGTGCCTATTGAGCACTTCCTCAAAGTGTTCCCTCCATCTGGCAAGCGTTGCTTCTTTATTCTTCAGCAGCTCCCCATCCTTGCTCTTCACTGCTATTTTTTGTCTATTACTCTTTCTTATCAGCTGTTTAACGATGCTGTACAGTTCTTTCTGCCTCCTGCTCTCGGCTGCTTTCTGTGCTCTCTCAGCATTATCTCCATCCACCTCCTCTTGTCCTCTTTCGCACTTTTCTTGACTGTTTTTTCTTTCTCCCGTTAAGTTTCCTTCAATCTAGTCTTGTCTTTTTCTGATTTTGTGCTGTCTATCTTTGTCTTGATGTCTTTTTTTCGTCTATCATCTTCCAGGTGTTTTCGCTGATCCAAGGCTTGTTTCTGCCTTTCCTGAAGCCGAGTACTTCCTCTGCTGAATTCACACAGATCATTCTCTGCTGCTCCACATTTTCTCGGTATCTTCAGTCTCTTTCTTGTGTTCTTTTAATTTCTTTCTCATATAGTCAATGAACTTGGTTTTTATTTCTTTGTTTTTGAGGCGCTCTACATTCAGTCTTGGTTTCAACTTGTTCTTGTGTGTGCTGAGGCGTAACTTGTGGTCGCTGTTGGCATCCGCTTCCCTCTTGACTTTGGCGTCAAGAACAGAAGATCTCCACCGCCCACTAATGAAAAGGTGGTTAATCTGTTTTTTCGCTATTCCAATAGCAGACACCCATGTTGCTTTGTGGATATCTTTATGTGGGAACAATGTTCCTGCTGTAAGAGCTGTCAAAATAGCGGTTACAACGCTGCTGCAAACATGTATAGACATGTATAAAAGACATTTTAACAAGAGAAACGTTTACAGAGCTTAGTCATCCCCCGTACTCAGCAGACCTCATTCTTTGTGACTTTTTTTATTTCCGAAATTCAAGAAAATCCTCGCAGAAAGACGCGAAAATTTATCTGCCCTTGGGAGTGCCATCCATCAATGCTCTTCATTCCTAAAGAACTGTATATATATGCCGAGGCAAACCGGTCGTTGGTACGGATACTTGAGACACATGCATGTAAAGCTTTACGGAGAGTACTTAAGGGGATTAATTTAAAAAAAAAAAAAAAAAAAAAAAAAACTTCTTTTCGTGTTTTTCTTATATTTTGGTGACCATTTGCATTTTTTATTGAACGCCCCACGTATGAACCTTTGACTTCAAAATAACAGACTGCTAAAAACGTTTTAAAAATTACTTGAGCGAAACTTATTTCTCTGTTAAATCTTTCTCACGTGTTTTGGTGGAGTTGCTGTTTTTCTAGCACAGAGGAAAGTCAGTTAAGAGTATTAATTGCCGACTTCTGTAACAAGTTGCAATGGATACTGTATCAACATATTGGACAAAACACTGATTCAGAGTGCAATCGCAGAAAACTTGGTGTCGTCATATTTTTTTCAAGACAATATATTTGTGAACTCCATATTATAAGAAATAATTTAAAATGCAAATTCAAGCTGATTCCAGATACATTTATACAGGAAAAAAGATTTGATTCACAAGAATGGTCGAATCCTTTCTGTACTATATTTGCTATATCCAGACCCGTAGGAACGGTTTCAAAAGGGGGGAGGGGGGTCAACTTCCCCCAAAAAATCTGACAAGCCAAAAAATGGGGGCATTTACTGTCCGAATCGTGTAATTTGCCAGTGCTTGACCTTAACATAAAACATCAAAAAGTGGGGGGGGGGGGTGTCAACCAGCATCTAAGGAAAATTTACTATAGCAAAATAGTATGCTCAAAAAAAGTTGGGGGCGCTGCCCCCTCCCCCCGCGTTCTACGGGCCTGATATCACTCTACTGTAATAAACTTTGGGCCACTTGATACAAACTTTTTTCATGCATCACAAAAATAGATGTACTGAATCATTTTCAGTAATGTCCTGTAAATTGATAAAATAGATATATTGTATGGATTCAAAAGGGGACAGGAAAAGTGAGAATTTTGAACATCCCAGAAAATGTAGGATTTCTTAATATTCTAGGCATTTCTATCATTTACAACCAAAATAAGTGCAAAAATATATACCACTTCAATGTAGCTAGTGGCTTTTACTGTCAAAAGGAGAACGTTATTGTACTACCTATATGTATGTTTAAACAGTATGCCAAGACTAATTCATTGAAAGTTAGACAATAGAATGTTTTAAAACTTCTATGACTATGTTCTAAAATTGTGTGATATAAGGTCCATACTTTCCAGGATTCTTACTTCGGCAGGGCTTTTAATTGCATGTAAATTTTTTAATGTAAAAGAGAACTGCACTCAACGCTGTTTTGGGTCTTTTTTCCGTCGCTTCTGTTGCTTTTATATCTTAACCTTATTTCACTTTTGTATTCTTATTAAAGAATTCTGTCAATTTTGCACCAAAATTTAAATGTTAAAATGATTTTAGACTGTGATAAAATAAAATAATTCAATGATTTTTTGTCTCTACTGCTTTCCAAATATAGTGAATTTACACTTACCTGCCCTTGATTGAACATTAGATATGGATGAGAGGTGGAGCTAACATTGTAAGAATGGCTCTAAAATTAGACTAGATAACAACAATGACATGTTTAAAAATACGTGATCATTCTTTCCCATCTCCTCCCTTTATCCTGTATGGCACAAGTACATTATTTACAAAGGTTTCAAAACGAAATTAACAATATCAGCACGTACACATAAGTGAAGAATATTTTGAATCGATGTCTGACAATTCAACGTGTTAAAGAACAGTGTCCTAGTTTGCACTAAACATGCTATCTTACAAGTCACGTGACGGATTTTAGTATTCCAAGAGAGTTAACTGAGGTAAGTGACTTATACATGTAATATTGAACATATCACAGCCCTTGGTTACAGCAGAGAGAGAGAGAGAGAGAGAAAGAGAGAGAGAGAGAGAGAGAGAGAGAGAGAGCGAATGTAAGAATAAGCAGT